GGTTTTTCCGAAATGCCTGGCTCACAGTAAAAATTTCAGCAGTGTTCAGACTTCCGAAAAAGGAAATTTCCATAATTCTGTACTTACTGAAATTTCGGAAATTAGTGAAATTTCCAACACTGTTAAAAACTTTTGCTTTGCATTGCCATGTAGTTTTCAAGATTATGGAAGTTTCTGAAATTTCTGTAATTTCCTTTTTCGGAAATCTGAACATACCTCAAAAATTTCAGTTAAACGACCATAACTCTTTACTACTAGGCCATGGGTACGTATTCTTTTAAACTTTTTCTTATCTCTATATACTCTATCGAATGAGGTATGAATGAATCAAAACATAGCGAATCACTTGGGAATGTTCCCTCGTGAGAAAAAACGAATAACATTTTTTGAACTGACATTTTTTTGAAGATTTTTGTACTTTTAGACAGTTTTTTGATATATTTGAAGAGAATAATCACCAACTGTCATATATCTTTGTAAAGTATATATAAATACACGTCTGCTTCGTGCCTTATTGAGTGTCATTACCTCAGTAATTCTATGTTCTACCACATAATCACATTGAACTTGGTCGAAAACATCATACTATGATCAATTGTATATTGTCTCGATCCTCGTTTTATTACAAATTATATCCATCATAAACATTTCATGGTGTTTAAATGATTATAGCATTAGTCATGATTGGTAAAAATGGGCATGATAGGAAGAAAGAACAAGCAAATACGCGAGCTTGAGAGAAAGAGGGCAGACAGATACAACGTAATAAATGGCGGGATTGAGATAACCTATGTTGGTTATACTAGACTATATGGTTTTCGATATCTCTTTTTCTTGATCTCAGTTGTTGTCTAACTGTCCTCAAAACATAAATAAATATCCATGTCCGTTTGTTTTCGCTCTTTATCGCTACGTATGTATTGAAACGTGGTGATCTTAAACATTGTTAGATGTGTCATATATGTACGTTCTTTCTTTCCTGTTGTTTAACATTACTATATATATGTACGTTCCATCTATGTTTTCGTTCTTTCTATTAGTCATGCATTTTTCTCTCTGATTTTCTCATGAGTTCTATCTTTGAGTACATTTTCTAGTGAGTTTTTTCTCTTTTTTAAAGTTCTATAATATTTTCTCTTCTCTTAAACTCATGTATATAAATACCCCCGATTGTATAATAAATCATTCAATTCAGTTAGTACTTAGCGAAAACATCCTTCTTTCGATAACAATGCCTTAGTTCAACGACTAATATTACTGTGACGATTTTAGATATAATAGACACTGTTTAGGAGCTATTATCCTACTACTTTATTAGTATAAGCAAAAATCGTACCTATACTGTATTTTTTCCGCTCCTTATATACTATTTCTTAACATAGTAGGACCTTGAAGAATACAGTAAACACAATAACAGAAAAATACGGGTTTAAGGACAAATTCAGAGAAGAACAAAGGTTAGATTACAATTATGGTCAACACTATGTACCAAAGAACGACACGTCGAGAGTGTGGTTCCAAAGTACAGGTATGAGAGATAAACATAGCGGATAGAAAATACATTGCGGTTATACCTTTTACGGATAACACTATGTACGAGGCGAGAATAAAATAAGTGTGTCCTTCCAAAGTACAAATAGAAGAAGACCGAACGGGAAAGGGTATTGCGGCTATCTCTATTATGTACGAGAGAAGGACAAACTAATAATACCACTACAAAGCACATATGGGAAAAGAGAGAAATAGAAGTATGGATAGATAACAGCCAGAGAAAGGTATCGCACTTGTTTCAATCGAGGAGAAGCAACAACTTACACGTTATGTTCGGTTGTTACAATTACAATATAATGTCAACAAAGAAAAGATATGCAAAACGATGAGTGTCTCCAGTCAAACTTCTCTTTTCTATATGTCTAAGGTTTTTCTACTAGATATAGCAAACGTGCGTTGGTAAGAAATGCTCGTCAACGTGTGCCACCACCACTAGCATAATTACAATCAAATACTACATCATCATTACAATC